CCTTGTAACCTCCGCTGCGGGGGGGAGGGGGGTGGGGAAGAAAAAAAAAAGCAAACAAATTCCAAACAACGTCTATTTCAGCCTCAAAACAAAACTGGAAACAAATTTTGAAAAACCCAAGAAGTTTGCGCTTTGGGGATTTTTTTTTTTCGCTCCCCCCTTTCCCATCTTTCCCATCTCCTCTCCCCTTCCTTGGGGAGTTATTTTCTCCCGGCCGAGCCTGCGGTCCGCTCCTCCAAACTCCTCGTTTTCCATGGTGATCCGTCGCCTTCTGCCCTCCTCCGTGGCGGCTGGGCCGGCTCCCCCTCCCCTTTCCTCCCCCTTAACCCTCTCCTGCCCTCGCCCGCCCCGGCCTGCGGGAGCAGCGGTTTCATTGTGCCCCTTCGGGCCGCGGGTGCCGCGAGTTGTGCCCGGGCTCAGCCCGGTCCGGCTCCGCGATCCGCGCCCCGCGGCGTGCGGGGGCCGAGCGCCGCTGCCCTGCCCGGCGGGGCCGGGGCCGTGCCGGGAGCGGCTCCGTCCCGCTGCGGGGCGGGGGAGCCGCGCTCGGGGCACAGGGCTGAGCCCGGAAACAGCTCGCCTCGCTCGGCTCTGGCAACAACAACAGCCGCGCAAAAAATAATCAGACAAGTCGAGCAAAATTCCTCTTGGAAGTATGCTGGCAGGAAAGCAATTTGCTGAAAGCGTCCGGTTTTTTGTTGTTGGGTTTTTTGCCCCCCCTTTTTTTTTTTTTTTTTCACCCCTAACTCAGGGTTCACTGGCGGGGGGTGCAGGTCCCCGTGTGCCTGGAGCTAGAGCGAGGTTTAGCCCAGATCCCAGGAAACTTTTGGGTCTGCTGGTGGGTTTGTAGTCCCAGCTGTTTTCCCCACTCTTAGTGTCACCTACAGTGTGCTCTACTCTGACATCAGATTTCTCAAGTGTCACCTTTCCTTTTTTGAAGAGTTTAAAAATTTTTCATTTTGAATGGTTAAATCCACTAGGACTTTCAAACACCACTGATTCCTCCCGATGGCATTAGCGTTGCTGTTTTGTTTCTTCTGGGTTTTTCTGAGTCTGAAGCGCTCCCACCATCACCATGTGTGTTTATACACTTTTTTTTATCCTTGTGGTAACACGAGATAGCGATTTACAATAATAGATCTACTGTTGGGTAGATGTTGAAGCCGTACTAATGACTGAGGGCTTGGACAACTTCGGTATATCAGATCTACAAGTGTTTTAAAGCATTAAAATATTAAACATCGGGTCAGTCTTGTTTTCACTTAGTAAAACGTCAGTAGACACAGATTAGTAAATGTAGAGTGACAGGGAGGTTGTGAGGAAGGTTCTCTGACTTTGCATATGTTTAGGGCTGTGGCAGAGTTTTATTTTGGAAGCTTGTGAGGCTCTTTTTGTGAGGAGGTGATTTCTGGGACAGTAGCAGAGGGTTGACTGCAGTTTGCAATTGTAATGATGGGGAGGGGAATTCAAGGGCTGAATGCATTATATTTTTTCTTTTGAGTATGGTCACCCACATGTATATGGATGATGGTGATAAATTCCAAATTCCATAAGTACCAGAATCCAGATGGCAAAACAATCTTTGTTCCAAATCACTTTGTTGCGAATCATGAAGCTTTGTATTCCCTTTTTTTTTTTCCCCTCGTTTTTTACCTTCAATGCATTCCACTGTTCTGAGTGCAGACTAATCGGAAGCACACCTATGCTGCCTTTTTTTAAAAGCATTTTTCTTACAACAGCTACAGCTCTTTTTTCCTCATTACCTTTATTACAGATCCCTTTTCCCTTAGCATGTGGGGTAGGATCCTTCAGCAGTTAGCTCTCCTGGAGCATTCCTCCCCTTGCTCCCCCACCGCTAAAAAAGGCCTCCATAGGAATGTTGGGTTCGTGTGAATTAAAGGTGCTGTACAAAAGCTTACAGGTTGGTTTATTGTTGGTATAGCAGGTGGCCTGCTTGTGTTATCAGATGAATTCTGAAAGGATATTTCCACACTCAATAGGCAATTTTCTTATTTCCACATCCAGGCTCCAGCAACCTTTTCCTATCTTCTTAACCTTATTCTTTCACATTCCGTATGCTTGTTTGTTTGCCTGCCACTTAATTATAGCCAGGAAAAATTAAAGTTGTTTATTTAGGCCTGAGAGAAGAATATTATAAAGATTCAGCGGGATAGCTGTTGTCTGTCACACACTATTTTTAGGTGGATTCTAGTTCTCTGCTGTACCAGCTTTCAATTCCAGATGAACTAGATCTTTCTCTTTCCTGTTTGATTTTATTTTATTTTTAAATACGCGTTGGAAAGGTATAGATGGTTCTGCATAATTACGAGTTTTATTTTTATTTATGTAGTTTTTCCCGGAGCCATATTTGTTGAGTGTCAGAGCATGCAAGGTAAAGAGGTGATACAGATACATAGCAAAATTGTTTTTCTTTTCCTTTTGCTGTTGTACAATCTTTAAAAGTCTGTGGGTGTGGTTTTTTTGTTGTGGGTTTTTTTTTTCCTGGAATTTTTTTTGTTGCTTTATTTGGGGGTGGAGTGGGATTATTGTGTTTTTTTAAATGTACCTGTAATTGTCTGTTCAAGAGCAAACTTGTGGGCAGCAGTTTCTCCTTTACTGCTTCAGGATTGTGAAGAATTATGAAGTATCATAAAATCTGCTTATGAGGAATAATCTTTTCTCGAGGATAATGCTTTAAATGTTGCAAACTCTTTATTAAGGTTGATAGGAATAATTTTATTTTTAAAAATCAAAGATTTTTTGCATGCTAATCTTGCTATTGGTAGAATACTGCGGTGTGCTTATGAGAATAAATGTTATTAAGTAGAGGTTTAGTCAAATAGTAATGAAGTGATGCATCTGAGAGCACCAGTTCCACCTCTGCACTTGTGGAGGGACTGGGGTGGCTCTATGTTATGGATAATAAAGGAGACTGTTTTCCTTTCAGAGTTGGAAAACGTAGATGTGGTGTACTTGATTTTTAGTTTAAATTTGGAGCTTGGTTAATGCTTTTGGTGAGCAAATAGATGCCGTATAATGTGAGAAAACCCTCCTGGCAGATGCTCTTATTTTTACTAGTGCTGTTGCATCTTCCTTTCCCCTAAGTTGTTGCTGGCTGAGTGAGACTGTAGGGATAAGCTTATGTTTGGTCCCAAAGTTTGTTTGTTAGGGAGCTGGGAATAGCTGTGGTGGAGAGCAGCCCCATCGCCTTGATTTTTATATTTAGGAGGAAACATTTTTTATTAATTGCCTTGAAAATTGATTTTTTTTCTTTATCTGCTGAATCAGACAATGTAATCCTTCGTAATACAAAAGCTTTAGCCCCTGGGATGTGAAGGGTTAATGGTGGTCCTTTTTTTTTCCCCTCCCTCCAATTGTTTTGACAACACTTTTCAAAGTGTGACATTCCAAGCCCTTGCAATACAATGTAATATTACTGTAATTACACAGGTCATTACATTTTAAATAGAGAACAATAAAATGCTTATCGCCCTGAAAAAGAACAGGTGTTCTTGCCCTTCTTTGGTGTTTATGCTAATTGTTTTTCATCTCCTTCAGAAATATTTATGGCTGGAGTGTTAAGATTTCGGTCTGGATGTGACAATATTAATTCTTTACTAATCTTTATGGTTGAGATTTAATGTCTGCAGTATGGATTATAGTATTAATGTCCACCAACTAGTTTAATAATGTAGATACAACTTAATATGTCAGCACTTTGGTACTTTATGATACAGAGCTATTCAGTGGAGAGTGAATTATTTGCTTTGTTTAAAAAAATGAATGGACATGCTTTTAATAAAGTTTCTGGACTTGTGTGAAAACAAGCTGTTAAATAAGAACTGATGATCCTGTGGTGTAAATCAAATGGAACTTCCATAAAAGAAACTTTTCTTGTGCTTAATTAGGTTGATTGCTGAATCACTCTGCTATAGCATTAGCATAGCTGGTATACAGTGGCAAACAGACTGTGTTTGTTAACTTACTTGCAGTAAAGAAGCTGATTTATTTTTAATGCTATGCTTTTTTCCTTTTTTTTTTTTCCTTCTTCTTTTTCTTTATTTTTTTTTTGTCTGATAAGATTTTATTCTGGAGCAAATGCTGCATTGCTTACTCCATCAGTTTCTCTTCAGGGGGCTATGAAAATTAGAGAAAAGTTTCATGTTTCTGGGACCTTGCAAAACAATATAATGCAGTACTGTTACTTGAGTGTACAGGATAATTGCAGGACTGCACTTCATTAAAAATAATATTTGCTTTGGAAATCGAACAATTTTAATAGGTGTAACGGTGGCTGATCTGTATGTAAAAAAAATACAGTAGATGCCTTTCCAGGTTTTTTTGAATGCATTCATACAAGGACTGAGGATGTTAAATAGGGTGGTGTGGTTTATTTTTTCCCTTCTTCCTCTTCATTTTTTGTTCAAGCAAGTATGTGCTGGTTTGTCAGCTGGACATGGAGTGGGGGAAGGAATATGTTGCAGCTTTCACTGGCGCTTGTAAACCAGAATGTAGGTAAAAATGTCCTAAATTTGTAAAGATTTTCATGAGTGGGCCCCAAAATCAGATAAAAAATGTGGTGTAGAGAAAAAGGACAGCTGCAGATTTTTTGTGTGGACGTGTGTTTCTGTACCATGACTAAAAACTCTAAGGACCTTTTCCCAGCTGTCTGGGAGTTAT